GGCGCTGCCGTGGCTGCTGCTGCAGCAGGTGAGGAAGATCCAGGCCTCGGGGCTGCTGCCGCTCAACCTGTGGGACATCTTCCACGGCCTGCAGCCCTTCCCCATCGTCGGACCAGCCGCCGTGTCAAACATCGTAAGGCATGCAGCAAGAGTCTGCAGGTAGTGCCTGCGTCGTGGATGCGCTTGCGTGTGCCCTCTCTCTCTCTCTCTCTCTTTTTTTGTGTGTGTGTGAATGTGTGTGCAGACCTCTTTGGTAGCGCCGTATACTGGTACGTGTGTGGAGTGCGGATTGAAGGGCGGGCCGGAATGAGTGTGTATGCTGTGTGTGCGTGTGCGGTTTCAGGGAGCATCTTCCCGACCCTGCGGCTGATGGAGGTCAAGGGCAACACGCTGTGCATCGTCGCATCGGTGAGCCAGGCAGACAGCCACACAGCCAGCCAGCCAGGCGGGAAGGCAGGCGGGCGAAGCAATCAATGCCCATGACCTGCTCTCTGCCATGCAATGAATGGCTGTGTGTGTGTGTTGATCGTTGGTCAGGTGCGCAACCGCCCTTATCTGCGGAACCCCTTCGACTGCCTCCACGCAGCGGCCCTCGCAAACCTGGGCGAATTCGTCGGTAGGTACCTCAGCCGTGCTGCGTTCACACCCGAGCTCTCACTGATGTCACCTGTGTCGTGTGTGCGTGTGGTTCTTGTAGGGGGCACCGGTGTGGTGATTGCGACGCAGCTCATCAACGACCAGGATGCCCTGGAGGCGTCCAAAGGTGGGGAGCATGCCACTGCTGCCACGGCGCCGCTGCCGCCTCCCCCGCCGCCCGGCAAGGTCCGTGCCATTCTGAAGGCCCTCCAATGCACCTACCACAAGAAGGCCACGTCAACCGTCACCGGCACTTGCGAGGTCGACCTGGCCGCCATCAAGGCCTGCTGTGCGGACAACCAGCACGACAGCAGCCATGGCGGCTATGCACATGACATGAACCAGAATTCTCACCATGGCGCCGGTGCCGGTGGGGGTACTGGTGTGTATGTGGTGAAGGCGACGCTGACGGACGAGAGCGCTGTGCGTGTGGCGGAGGTGGAGACGCACTGGGCGGTGCAGCGGAGCCAGAAGGGGCGGAAGGGCGACAGCAACAGCAACAGGTCACACAAGACCGACTGAGCGATAGACAGACAGACAGACAGACGACAGGCGGCTGTGCAGAGTGTGAGTGTGTTCGTGCTCGTGTGCACGAGTTTAAGGTGTGTGTAGCTAAGCTGGTGGAGGGAGGGGCGAGGAGAATAGGATAGGACCTGCATGTTTGCCATACGGCACATTTTGACGTACACGTGGTGATGTGTGATGATATGTTGGATTGGACCGATGGCGTTTTAAGTCGTCCGATGAGCGCTCGTCGATCATTCACACATAACATGGATCGGGAGACGAAGTCGGCCATCGTGCCATCCATCCATCCATCCATCCATTAGCAGTCATTATATGAGCCATGCATCATCGGTCACAGGCACTTTGCTAACAACAGTCCGTGTCTCATTCACACACACAACGGCAGAATATAAAATGTAGGCAGCGATGGTTGTTCTGCTGCTGGGGAGCGTGCGTGCAGTTCACCGTCGCTGGGATGTCAGCTACAGATACCTGGATACTGCTCCGCCGCTGGAGCATTGAGAAAAGGAAGTGCTTTTGGCGGTTCTTGTGCCATTTGATGTCCCTGTCTGGTGCAATGGAGTAACGCATCTCTCCTGCCACAACTGATCAGAAGGCGACACGTCCAGTCCGCAGACAGCAACTGTGTGCCCGTCATACCTAAGAGCAGCCCTGCGATGGCCCACTGATTGATGCTCTCCCTAGATTGAGCCATGTTGGCGTGGCCCTTGTGCGGGAGGATGGTTGAGGACGGACTCGATGGCCCCATTTATCTGCTCCTCCCTCTCCGCCACGACTTGGTGTCCTCATGGGACATGCCTCGCCACCTCTGCACCTGGCGCAGGGGGTCCCGGTTGGCGAGAGTCTTCATTATTAGCCGGGCGGTCGGGATGGTGTGTGGGCGTGCGGGTGGCTGCGAGAGGAAAGGGAACCTATACTCGTCGGGCGGGGCGGTGGTGTCCATGTACTCGTCGAGCAGCTGCATGGAGGGATGCATGGAATCACATGGAATCGACACACACAAAAGACTCTTTCTGTTTTTGTGTGTCGGCCCACTGTCGGGGTCGACCTACTGTGTGGTCGAGTCGGTCGCGTCGGCGCTGCTTGGCCCGAGACATGTAGTCGTCGTGCCCTGGGGCCCGCCCGTCGCCTTGCCTGACACCTCCGCTGCAGAAGCTGCAACGAAGCAAAAGGGAAGGGAGAGACACGAGAGTGGAATTCTGCCCGCTGTCCACTCATTGCATGAGGCCACCATGCGAATTTCTCCTGCCGTTGGACTCCGTCGTCGTCGATGTCCACCACGTGCGGAGGGGAGGGGAGGCGGCGCAGACTCCGGTACGAAAGGCGATGGAATTGAGGAGTCTCCAGCTAGGCGACCTCTTCCCTAACTTGGTGCTCTCCTTTGTCTTGCACCAATAATGTTAACTACCTGCAAGTACACCACCACAAAAGCGTGTAGCGATATGTGCGACATCATGCAGCTTACCTCGAATGAAAATCGAAGCGCTGGACTGTGTGCTTGTGTGCGGTGCCCACAGCCACGGGATGAGGGTGTCCACAACATGGCCGGCAGTATGTCGTGCTGGTGTGTGTCAACAAATGGCCTCCGGAGTGTGCTGATGTGGTGCTGCTCGTGTTCGTCGGGGTGGTGGGTCGGTGCTGGGTGGGGGACGGTCGGAGAGGAGGGCGGGGCGGACGCCGAGCGGTGCTGGCTCGCCGGCTGGCGGCCTTGAGCAGCGACAGATTCCGGTTGATCAGGGCACCCATTGGTGACTCAAAGGGCACACAGCGGGGCCCCGGCGTGGCCTTGCCTGGGTGCACGGGACGATTCGCCCTCTCGTCGCGGCCTGGCTTGTCGTTCCTTGAGGCAGACAAGGGCGTCTCGTGCGATGGCCGGTGCAGCCCTTTGCCGCCAGTGGCGTAGCGGTTGGATGCGATGGGGGGCCTCGGATGGTAAGTGTCCACAAACCCACGATGTGAGAGCTGCCGGGTGCCGCCCTTGTCCAGCTGCGCCAGCAACACCGCGCCCCCATTGGACCGCCAGCTCTCAGCATGCGAGAAAACGCACTGAGTGAACCCACACACACACACGGACAGCAGCGTAAGTCATGCCTCGCGGAGGAATGAGTGAGTGTGTCGTGTGTGGGTGACGCGTCTTCGGTTCCCACCTTGCTGCCATGGCGGCACCACTCCCCCTTCGCCCAGAATAGACAAGGGCGGCTCTCTTGTCTCTGACAGGCGAGCGATGCCACACAGAATGAAAGCACTTTGCAATGCCCCCCACCTACCGTTTGATTTCGTCGATGTGGGGGGGCGTCTGTTGTCAACCTTGGGGTGGCGGGGATGGCTTCCTTGAGGCGGCAGTTGCTGCATGAAGCAATATGAACGGACAACGGAGAGACACATATGTATTCATTTCCACAGTAGTGCTAGAGTGTGTCTGCACGTGTGTGTGTGTGTTGGGTTTGGTCGCTCACATTGAGGAAATGTGTCACTTCCAGTGGCCGCTGCACCCGTATCTTACACACAGACATGTCTGGCCGGCGTCTGCAGAAAGGTCGAGTAATGAACGCATCTCGTGTCCCCTCTCTCTCCGTGCCTCTGTGGGCTCCGCTCCCCACCTACCGTTTGATCTCATCCGTCGGTATGAGATCCCACACCTGGTCACCCACGCTGGCGACATGCGTGGCAGCCGGGAGCTTCTGCACCTTCTTTCTCCAGCATGGCGATGGCCTGAACAAACGAACCCATAGTACCATACACACACGCAACACGCATGCACACACACATCCAGACATGTGTGTATGGATGGGGAGAAACTCCCTCTCTATGTCCCCTCCCTGAGCCTCCCGAGCGTTCTCCTCCTGGATAGCTGAAGGGAGACCAGCCAAGCGAAGGCAAAGACCAGTGTATGATGGCCTAATGGCATGCTTGGTGCTCTCAGTGTTGTTCGTTCCCTCGGTCACCTCTCACGCCCACGATATTTCATACTGCGCCTCCTTGGCTTGTTTGGCCATCGTGTCGGCGTTCATCCTGGGATGCAGCAGCCGGTGCAGTGCCCGTTGGCTGGCTGATATGACAGGCACCCCGGCGACTCGTGGGGCCCGTCCCAGGCGCTCGAATGCCCCCCGCTGGAACACGGCATCGAGCCTGTGGACAGCGAGAGAGAGAGAGAGAGAGAGAGAGAACAGGATGAATAGATTGTGACTATCGTGTGTATATCAGATAAGTCACCAGCCAGGTGTCCCGTTAGTGACAGACACGCCTCGATGACCTGCTCAGCCGCCTTTCCGGTCTGCTCAAAGGCCGTGACGACCTCCCCTGCTGTCTCTCCCGTTGCCCAGTGCCCCCGCCGTGGAACAGGTCTTGGCCGTCAGGCTCGTGGGCTTTCGCACACGCCGCGAGGAACCGATGCACGCCCAGGGCCTCTAGGTAGTGGCTGGGTATGAGCGTGTCGTCGAGATCGTCTTCTGAGCAGCGACGTGGGGTTCGAGGGACTGTCGTCAACCTGGAACAGACTGACGTCGGTGGTTTCGGCATGGAGCTCAATTGCAGCAACGCGGTGAGCCTTGAAGTCGCCGGTCCTCAGCAACGAAGCCCTTCAGGGAAAGAGAGATGGTGTAGATGGATGCATCCACGTGAACATGTATCCTCATACTCACTTGAACGAACTCAGCAGAGAAAGGACAGCGGAATATAAAATGTAGGCAGCGATCCCCACCGGCCACCATTACTGCCCCCCCATCGGGCCATCCTTCATCGCCGCCTCGAGTACTCCTGTCTCGCCGTCAAGGAGCGGGTGGGCGTTGGCATAGAGTGATGTGAGCGTCGAGGGGAACGTGGACTCAGAATGTGTCGCTGTTGCTGTCACACTGCCCGCTTCTCGCACTTCCACGTGCGCCCGCGGCACTCGCTGTTGCAGCCGGCGAGAGGCATGCAACCGGACCTGCACCCAAACAGTGAAGAGCACCACATCACGACCATAAGCGCAGGCTTCTCGTACATATCACGGCGAATCGGCCAACTCGGGAAACTTTTCTCGGACCTCCTCCACATTTATCACCACACTAAAGCATGATCAAATCAGCAATGAACGAGAATATAAAATACTTGTTTTGCCTGCCGCATACTGGTCGCCTGGATGGAGCATGTTAGGTGCGTCAAACTGGGCGTCCGCCATCACTCTGATCATCATGATCAGTATCATGGCTTAAGTCAGTGACATGACTTCTGCTAACCTGTTGACAACTGTCTGCAGTCGCCGGGCGCCGGTGCTCTCCTCGCCCCTGTTGCTTGGTTTGCCTTGTGGGCAACTGCAAGTAGCAGGCAATACATATATTCACCTTGGCCGTTCGTGCTTCCTCTTGGCCATCTCCCAAATTGCTTGCTCCTCAAACTCAACGGTGACTCCGTCTTGTCTCAACAGACCTGAAATACACATAGACAGCACACGCCGAGAGAGGCAAGGAGACAGACAAACCAAAGCACATGCATGTGCTGGAGTGTCAGTGTGTATATACGTTTTTGCCCTTCCAGGATATTCGCCTTGGGGCACTTGAGAATGCTGTAGAGATCATCCACCGTTAAGGCGTGCAGCTTGACCTGGGTTTGAAACCGGCCGTGCTCATGTCTTCTGGCTGAACTTTGTGGAACGCCCCAGCTCCAATAAACAATATATTGCGTGTGCTGACTGTCCCTGAATGCCCCAATAAACAATATATTGCGTGTTCTGGTGTGCACTGTCGGTCAGCCGCTTACCGCCAGATGTCCGTACGTCCTTGCCGCCAATCAGCAGCAGGAGTTCGTGCTGTACGCCCTCGCGTGAGATGTCCAACCCTGAATCTCGCTCTCCCTGAGGGAATCAACACCACATAGAGAAAGTGTACAGAACCACCGCTAGGTTGCCTGCTGACCCTTTTGTTGCATGTTGTGTCGATCTCATCGATGAAGACAATTGCGTTTTTCTCGACATTCAAACAGGCCATTCTCTTGACGTGGGAAAAGGCTGACAAAGGGGCTCGCGCCCGGTCTGATGCAACAGAGAAAGGGAAAATAAAGCCATTTGATGCATGAGAGTGGCGACGCGTACTTTGTGCAACGAAGTTGGCGTGATGATGTATTCGGCGATGATATTCTCTTCATGTATACTGTATCCTGCCGTCCTTTGGGGGACGTAAGCGGGCCCATCCTGCGAGAGGAGGGGTGAATGCATCTTTCTCGCAGTGCCCATCATAGCGAATGGATCTTTCTCGCTGACCACCGCAGATGAATAACCCCTCGTTGGCGTGCGTCCTCGTCACGGGCTGTGCCGTAGGTGAAGAGGGGGCGCCCTGGAAGCCTGACGAGGTGGGGTGAGGACGGGAGGCCGCACGTGTTCTCCAGCATGACCCCATGGGTTGAACATGTTGTTGAATGGGGCAGTCATCTTCACCCCTTGAGTCCATATGTGCGATCATAAGCAGGGAGGGCTTGCCGACGGCGATGTTCTGGAAAAAAAAAAACAGAAAAACTTGCTTAGAAGCCCCCGTCTCGCCGTCTCGCCTTTTTCTCGCCTCGGAACTCTCCGCCATATGTGGTTAGAGGCTAAATCTGCTGCTCTTTCGCCCTCTAATGCTTTCTCCATTTGCCCACGACTGACGCCGGAGCACCGCGATGGCACGAAGGGCAGCCTCTTCACACGGCCTCAACTTCAGGGCGCAAAGGTGCTGCCAATCGGCGGCCATCGTGCACCAGACACTGCAGATGCAGGCAGCACACGTACAACCGAGCCAAGACGAGGATCGAGACGGCAGAGTGTCGCTCAGCCTCCTGCTGCTGCCTTGGAAGCTCAGCAGGATGTGAGCCCCAGATGGAAGCTACTGAACATCACTTCAGCCTTCGGGAGGAAGATTAGTGGTCAGACACGGGACCAACGCCTGAATCTTGCTCATATGCTTGATTGTGTCTGTGCTATGTAGGCCGGGGACGTGGGGCGGATGCGTCGTCTTCCAGCAAACAGACCCCGACGCCGACAAAACGGTACTCTCTCACGCCTGAGGAAAAGGCGAAGGTCCAGCAGTACTGCGAGTCAGCCAGAAGGGCACAGAGACTTGTCGCCGACCTCGACTCAGAAGGTAGTCACACCTCGCTTGTACATTCATTTTTCTCGCATAATCCTGCTGATCATCGATCATCTCCGCTTTCCGCAGTGATGCCCTTTTTCGAGACAATCGTTGCCAGTGTCAGCGAGAGCCTCCACCTGCTCAAGAGCACCGAGAGGAAGGAATCCACATGGGCAGCCAATGCCAAGGCAGAACGGCGCAAGAGGCGCATCAAGCAGAAAAGGACTGGAGAATTTGAGAGCGAGTCGTCGAGTGCGACAGAGTCGGCTGAGGTTGAGGAGGGCGAGGAAGAGAATGCTGAGTTGGTGAAGCGATGGCTCTACAGCTATCCTGATGTGGCGCGGATACGGATGAATGAGAGTGACAGACAGCTGAAACGACTGATGAGGAACGTCCGGAACAACATTGGACTGACCGAGTGCATGCAGGTGCGCATAATCTTAAAAGGGCGACTTTCAACCTTCGGTCACCGTTTGAGCATGCCTTTTTCTCCCAGAGGCTTGCACAGATGCTGCCACACAATTTCAAAGACTTCAGGTGAATGACAACTAAGAACGTGACGGCAAGTGCGTTCGTTCCTGCATAGACATGCATGTCTCCCTTCTGCAGAGTAGTGCCCGACAGGAGTGAGACCCACACACAGACGCCCATACCAAAGAGTATGATCCAGACCACCTCAACACAAGTGGGTCTAATATGGGCCGACTGACTGACTCGAACAGCTCGAATAGCCTTTCCGTCTGTTTGCAGCATGATGTGGGTCGTGTGCCGGCGTTGGCCGCCCCCATCGAGTGGGCCGTGCCCAAGTCTTCAGTGCCCGGTTTTGACAGATCGAGTCTGGACCCGTTTTTCCCCATTCGGACAGAAAGTAAAGAAGCGCGGCCAAGAGATGACATGCTTCATATGTCTCTGATTGCTGGCTCTCGCACTCGCAGAGGCCGACCCCTCACTCAGCCGCCAGGGTCTGTAACAAGAAGAGACACAACCGAAGTACTCCACAGCAGCGTCCCTTCGCTTTCCTTCAGAGCTGGATCGGATTGTTCTAGAGGTCTATTGCCACAAGCTGGCTGATGTGTACAAAGCCCCCAAGGTCGGCCGCTTACAGATAGCTCAGTCCCTCACCGACTCTCAGTCGGCAGCCGGCCAGCAGCAGGGGATCACTACCGCAAAGCGCCGTGCCCCCAGAGAGATGAGCACTCACCCTTCGCTGCCTTTCCCCGATTTCGTCACCGGCACCTTCTCTCTGTCGGGCCTCAAACATCGACTGGGATCGTTTCTATCTTCGTGTCATGGTGTTGCAAACAACGGGAATGACAGTGTTCCTTTCGCGCGAGTGCCTTTCTTCATGAGCCTCTGCCAAGTGAGAAATCAAGACAAGCAGCTCCGTGAATCCATGATGTCTCTTTCCGTCGCAGGCTGATGTGTCGCGGTCTGTCTTGCACACAGCGGCCGACCGTTTCTTTGTTTCTTTGGGGGCTATTGTCGTCGCGTCAGCGCCCTCAAAGCTGCTCAAGGTCCCCGTGTCTGCGCGGGACGCCTCCTGGATGGGAGCAGTCTGTGAGGCACTGCTGAGGCCATCCCCTCTTCGGGCAATGTGTGGCGGGACAAATGAGGCCATGAAGACTATTCAGTTCCCCCAGTTGGAGGTTTTCAAGGCGCTGCGGCAAGTGCGTCCCTTCAATCTCGCCCAGTACAGGCGTCGGCTGTTCGTTCGCCTGTGGGAAATGAAGGAGGAGATTGTCACAAGGGGAGACACAGACGACGGCGATCACACCGAGAGTAGTGAGACAAAGATCAAGTCGGAGGACGTGGTCAAGAGGATGCTGGACACTATCAAGAGGAGCAAGCCATCCTCACCACAGGCGAAGAAAGGTCCAGCGCAAAAGAAGAAGGGCAGCGGTTCTGGCAAGGGGGGCGGTGGTGGGGGGCCCAAGATGAAGGCCCTCACCAAGAAGTCACTCGAATGGATTGACCTGGACATGCTTTGCCACGCCCTGTGTGAGGAGCTCACCAGATGGGAAGACGAGCATTGCAGCTTCTTCTGCCGTTGGTATCGGGGATATGCGGCACACATCACGGCGACTGCCCAGCGGCCGGAGAGGGAGACAGCAGAGCAGCCGATACACCTACTGGCCAGCAGCAGTTCTGCTGCGGACAAGCCCCTCAAGGCATCGAAGCCCTCGCTGCGCAGAGCCAAGACAGCCACCAAGAAGCCAAAGCGAAGCCGCACAGCCAAAGAGGCGGGCGCCAAGACAATGACAATCGTGTACGAGGACTGGGAAGAGGAGATGGAGGTCCCTTTCAGCAAACTCAAGTGGATGCTCGATCGAATCATCGGCCCAAACGTGTGTCTCTGCGACCATGAGATGGCTGACCTCTGCCGCAGGTCGCTTCGGGCGAGAAAGGGCAAGGCCACTACTGCCGATGGACAGGAGAAGATGGCCGTCGAGGATGAGAGCCATCTGCGCTTTGATCCGCTGCTGTTTGCTCAAACCGTGCTCCATGCCGGTTTTGATTTTCTGCCGCTGTCATGTGCTCTGCGGATATGTGTGTTGATCAAATGGCATCTGAGACAGCGGCTGGCGCACAGGAAAGAGGCAACTTCGGCAGTGCAGAAGAAGCAGAAGGACTAACTCAATCAGGGACCTGTGTTTGGACCTTTACGGTGCAAGTTTCCTTGACAGCATGTGTGGAAGGAATGCAGTTTTTTCAGTAGGGATTTGTGATTTTGTACAGTGCCTGTATGTATGTGCCTGTTTGTTGCGCGTTCGTGTGTGTAGGCATGTGGGTGCGTTGAAACGATTGACGGATGAAGATTTTGATTGAACGTCCATGGCAACGATTGAAGCCAAATGCCATCATGTCCATGGATGCATCATATCAAGCCGATACCAGTGCCACAACCTACAAATACCACCCTCATCAAGCTACAGACGTCTTGCTCACTTCCAACCAGCCTCCCATATCGACAACATGGTATCCCCCTCTCTCGCCGTCAGCACGACAAACAGTCAGGACAATCAAGCCATCACAGTACCACGACTAATAACGCCATTCTCCAGATTGAACCGTCTCAGCAACCTACGGGCTCGATCCATCAGCACGGGGAAACGGGCGTCCAACGGAGCCGATGCACCGGCGAGCATCTCTGTCGTATACAGACCGACATCGCCGTGGCCCACCGACACGGAGGCAGCAACAGCATCGCCGGCCCGATACCCACCGATGATAATGACACGCGAGTCGGTCACATGATCCCAGTTGACGTTGCCGCCATCGACGCGCGAGTCCACTACGATGCCCTCCTCTTCAGCAACACTACCAGTGAGCAGCGAGACATACCGGCTGTCTTGACGGCCGACAAATCCCGATACCACCATCCTCTCTGTCACCCCATTCTGTCGATGCCATACTGTCACCAGGCAGTTCAGGAGAAACGCTGAAAACGAGGAGTACAGCCACCCTCCCATTTGTGGTCGGCGGATGACAGGATCAGTCCTCTGGTACCCCTCAGCGTAGCGGTGATTGGCCGGCAGCTCAGCGTAAGACACCACACGGAATGTGCCAGGAACCCGCGCAATCTGATACTCTCCGTTGGCGGCCTGCTGGAGCGCCAGGCGCTGTCCTCTGTGCGTCAGCTGATGTCCGATCAGCCGATAGATGGCTATAGCTAGCGGCAGCGAATCAAAGGCCGACTTGCTGTGTAGGTGAGCCACTGACAGCACCAGGGGCAGCCCATCGGGGGTCAGCCGATAGATGGCGGCCAGCCGAATGAAGATGCCGATCACACGCCACTCTCTATCGCCCTGCTCCAGCACATAGCAGGACCGCACCAGACTGTCGAATGCAGGAGCCATGGGGGAAGTGCGGTCGATATCAATAAGGCCGACGAGTGAGTGGCGGGTAAGGGAGGCGTTGATGCGACCCACGAGTACGGCAGGCGTCACCACAGAGCTCCCCACGGCACGACAGCTGTTGCGCAGGGCACAAACCACGTCTGTCACTGCCAGGTATGACAACACACACTCCCGCCAGACCTCCACAGGCACCGCATCAGCCATCGGTGACCGCGTACTTGCTGTTGGAAATCTGTTGTGCGCTCTCAGCCCTAGCTCAGAACCAGGGGAGGAGCGCCGTCATCTCTCCCTTTTCGTCAACCATCTGTCGGCACTGGGCAGCGCTACATCTGTGCGTCATCTTCATTCCCCGGCTGTATGGAGTTTGATTGAGGCGTCAAGGCCATCGCTGCTGATGAGTGGTTCGGTGCCTGCTGAGCTGTGGCGCAGCGTTGTGCTGCCGTGCCTTCCCGTCTGTGAGCTTGTTGCCGCTCGAGCCACCGGCAGATCACACGCAGCGGTGATCACGGCTGAGTTGCTTCTGCAGCGCATTGACGCCCTCCTCAGCCGCCATGGACTCACTGGCCTTATCGACGTCGACCGCACCACGCCCTCTCCCAATCAGCCTGGCGGCCTTATCGACATGATTCTGGGCTGCTTGCAGCGGCTGAGGGCGTGCGCAAGACGGCTCGCCGGCCGACGGCTGACGCGCTTCGGCTACTTGGTGCGATGCCTATTTGTGCTGGAGCAGGGCGGCAGTGAGTGGCGTCTGATGGACATGGCTGTCCGGCTGGCCGCCATTTATCGGCTGACCCCCAATGGGCTGCCCCTGGTGCTGTCAGTGGCTCAGCTGCACAGCAAGTCGGCCTTTGATTCGCTGCCGCTAGCTATCGCCATCTATCGGCTGATCGGACATCAACTGACGCACAGAGGACAGAGCCTGGCGCTGCGGCGAGCCGCCAACGGAGAGTATCGCATCGGCGATTGGTCGTTTCTTGTGGTGCCGTTGGGCGAGCTGCCCGCCGACCATCCCTACCGCAGCACATACAAGAAGAGCGACCCCGTCGTCCGGGACTACGTCTGGCTCCTTCGCTCCTTCACGTCATTCCTCACGTGGATGGTTCTGATATGGTGGTCTGATCAGGAGGGAGTGGGAGAGAAGGAGGTGTTGTGGGGATCCATCGGTTGTGACGACCCCTGTTATCTGAGGCTGCTGACAGCCGGCGACATCCCCGAGCACATGGGCATCACAGCTGACCATCGCTGTGACGGCGGAGACCTAAATCAAGCGGATCCACGGTCCGCCCGTCGTGTGGTCGTGAGCGGCTTTCGCCCCAGTGACACAGTCGCTGCCTTTGTGCTGCTGGGGTGGGGGGCATCGGCCTGTTAACGACCGAGTCGGCTGCTGCTGACGCGCCTGCGTCCCTCGATGAGCGTTTCCCGGTGTCAGCGCCCTTATGGCGCAGTGTTCTGAAGCGATTTGACCTGCAGAGTGACGTCATCGATCGGGGTATGGTGTGGGTGTGATTTGTCGGCGATGCGCAAAGGGATGTGAAGATGTCTTTAGGGGTCTGCGGTGTGCGGTAGACAAAAGCTGGCTGCGCGACAGGCAGCGGTGTATGGACATGATATTGAAGGCTCTCTGTCTACCGTGATGCGATGCCAGTGATGCATCCATCCATCGTATTTTTTCATCCCAATCGAATGCGATGAACGGATGAATCATGAGGTGTCAGTACGGGTTGGTTGCTTGCTTGGCTGATGTCATGTTGATGTCACGGCTGTGGTTGGTTGTCATGTTGATGCAAGGATGGAGCGGGCCAGTTGGTCTGCTGTTGATGCATGTCGGCGTCATGAAGTTGAAGCATGGGTGTGGTGACCTCTGAGGTCAGTGGAGCACGATTTCACGTCATCGATGCACACATTACTAGCTATCAGTACTTACACACATGTCCAACACATGGAGGTATTCAGCTGATCCTGGCCGGCCAGTAACGGTGCATGCAACGGTTGGCTGTTAAAGCCTGCACACGCGTACAGCAAGCATACCTCCCTCCCTCATCCCTCCCACCGTCCATCCCTGCCACCTTGTGGAAGGCAAGCATGCGGCTGTCCGCGTTGATGTTGTTGTTCGCCTCTCTGATCTCTGTTCTCTCGACCTCGTCTTGGCTGGTGGCGGCCACCGCTGATGACGAGTTGCCGGATCTTCCCAGTTTTGCTGAGTTCCTCCAGACTCCGGACGAGCTCGTCGACAGCATCAAGGACATCATTGATGACATCATTGATGACATCCGTGACGAGATCTTCCCCAGCAAGCCGGATAATGTGACCACGCCACCACCGCCCGCACCCTGCGCGGGCGACGAGGGAGACCTGCAGCTGAACGCAGCCCTCAGCGCCGCCGTCGAAATCGTGAGTTCACGTGGTGTGTGGTGCCTCGATCGCGACGACCATTCTATGTCAGACTGTCGTTGTCTATCTCTTGGGCACGCAGGTGCGTGATACAGATGAGTACTCCGAGCTGCTGAAGACGGCTTTTCCTTTGGTCACAACAGTCGAGTTCTCGGCTTGCGAAGCTGAATTCCCTGACAAGGAAGACGCAGAGGGCACTTTTAAGAGGGTAAGGAGACTACAAACCGTGAGTGAGTGACATGTTTGCGCTGTCTGTCCACGCGTCGTGCCTCCGAATGATCGGTGTGAGTGCAGGTGCTGGACACACGTGTCCTGAAGATCGGTCAGTCTATTCTTGGTGGCGACGTGGAAGATCGACCCAGCGAGGGGAACCCAGGCAGTGTGTCCGGGTTCCAAAGGGAGATCACCGACCTAGTGCTTGCGGAGCTATCCAAGGTACAGTACGTAGGGAGGGCGACTCCTCGACCAATCTCTTTGCCAAATGCCTATTTGCGTGGCCGGGGCTCTCGTGGTCTGTCTTTGTTTGGCATCCATCAGGAGTACGACATCGAGATCGAGCCCGAATACGTCATCATAGGTAAGGAAGAGAGATGGTCAGCCGGCGGGCCAGCCAACCTACCAGCCAGCCGCTCGATCCACGCACAGAGTGTGTCGATGTGTGTCGATGTCATCTGATGTCATGTGATTTGTGTGTCACACAAGACAACTCCGAAGACTTTTTCTTGCAATTCCGGGATGCTCTCAACGCGGGCACTGTTGACGCATTGATGACTTTTTCGGTTAATGGAGCTGGCTCGTAGGCTCTTCATCCGCCAATCTCTCCGTCTTTGTCCGCATCAGGTGACTCCGGAGCGCGAACTGTCCGTGGACTATACTTGCGAGATCTTCAAGTATTCATCAGTCAGTCGGTTGAATCGGTCTGCTTTTCATCGCTGTGTGTGTATGTGCCTGTGCAGCGTTGTCAACGACATCGGTGTGTGGGTGCTGGAAGGCTCTGAGTTGGAAGACGTCAACTTGGACGAAGACTCGACGGCTTTGGACGGGTGAGCACACGCATTTGATGTCCGCATCCATCGTGCTATACGTATCCACATGTACATCTTCGGCTGATCGACGCAGGAAGACGATCGGCGTCTGTGGTGGGTGTTGCTTCATCCCTGCGTTGGCAGAAGTCGCTCCAGGGCTCGTCCTCGTAGAGCTGCCGGCTGAGGGAGAGGACACCCTCGTCGACGCACTGAGAGCGGGAGACATAGACGCCGTTGCCACACTCCTGGTAAGCAGGAGAAGGAATCGATCCATCGAGTGACGAGCACCACCACGCACGTATACAAGTACAGCGCCTGCCGCTCATTCCTTCTCTGTGTGCTTGTGTATCGTAGGCTAGAGGCCCTGCATTTCCTGAACTAACCACAAGCGATGACATTGTCAAGCTTGAAGGATCCTACCCTGTAAGCACAAGGCAGGCTGGAAGAAGAAGGAGCCATTGAGCTGAAAGAAATGCTTCATCTGATTGACTGTGTGCAGATCGGACTCGACACTCGCGCGTACGGCACCCGCTTCGCTGGTCCAGGTTGCGATGAGTCAGGCCAGGAGACGTGTCCTGAGGAACAGGTGAACGGCCTGTAGTGATGTGAACGATCGCGAGCGAGTGTGCTGGTCCGATGGTTGATCTATGGGCATGGAGGTTTTGTATGTACTAGGCCCTCTTTCCACAAGAGAGATAGAGGTAGAGAGGAAGGGGGGAGCCGGGGGGGGGGGGGGGGGGGCC